TAATTTTTTTTTTTTTTTTTGTTTTTGTTTTTGTGCAAGTACTAAAACAAACCAAGGAAAACATTCATCATGCTCTGTTAACAATAAAAAAAAGCCACATCTTTGTATTTGACAGAGAGCAATGAATGATTCATTAAAAGAACCGACTCAGAGTCATTTGCTTGTGAATCAGACTATATAAATCATGCTATATGGATAGCATATTAGAAATATGTGTTTTTATGATGTGGTCAGGTCTTAGATGGTATCTGTGAAATCAGAATAACATAAACTGTAACAAGTCATCCAGAGCTACACTGTGTCTTAAGGTGCTTTTTTTTTTTTTTTTACATTGTGGCTGCATTGTTTTGCAAATGAATTAATTAGACGACAAAGAATTAACTTGACGGAGCTCAAACTCAAAACACACGGCAGCAACAAACAGGAAGTGACGTCTGCAACGTCTCATTCCCCACCCTCCCAAAATTATGACTTCTAAAGAAAGCAGGGACAGAGCTGCATCAAAGTTTCTGATGTTTTTTTTTTGTTTGTTTTGTGTGAACTCCCCACTGCACAGTTGGCTTCCTTACACAGTGGACCATTAAATCAAAGCGACTTTAGTGAAAAGTAAAAATAACATTCTATGAGAATTGGCTTTGTGTTCATAAAGGCGAGACCATAAGCGGCATGTATAGTTGTTTAGACAAAGTGTGTGCGCATAGGGTTGCATGTTCTGGATTATGGATTGGCTCAGGGGGGGACTCGTATCACCTCTGAGTTAAAGAGAACAATTAGGCCGTATCAGAGCGGCGTGATGTTTGCAGCGGGGCGAGAGGAGCGATAGCAACTGTAATCTCCTCTTATCTGCCCTCATACTCAGCCAAGTGAGTCTCCTCCACTTTCTCTCCTCTCCTCTAGGTAAACAACATCTCTCACTTGTACAGTACACCACAAACAAATCGAGAACCTGACAGCCGAGTTGAGCTCTTAATGATGGCAGTTCTAGAAGCAGATCTGTGAAAATAAGACGTTAGATCCATCAAACTGTGGGTGGCAATTTACCACACTCAGCGATATCCTCTGTGGGCAGTTCAGGGTTTTTCCCGTGAATACTCATCCAACATTCATTATTTTGTTTTTCTTTTCACTTTATGCACTGTTGTTTTGTGTGTCTTAACGCTTGTTGATTTAGAGGCCCTGGCAAATGCATCATTTGGAGTAGAAACAGAGGAATCGCTGTTCAAACTGCTCTTGGGTCCCGGTATGCTTGCGGTTCCGCTGTCAACTTGCATCTCGTCCGGTAACGATGCTTACGACGAAACTTAAAGGCTCTCTGTCTGTGGGTGTTTCTTCAACTATGGCCACTTTTAGTTCTGTAGACTTTTGAAAAATAAACTTTTAAAACACACTTTTTACCCTATCACTTGTTTAATTTATCCAATAACAATGTCCAACAGACATGATAGGGCAAAAGGAACAAATGTTGGGTTTTTTTTTACCATTTTTCTTTTTTTTTTTCCTTAAGAAAGTATAACTTGATGTATTGCCTAATAATACATCATTTCTGTTGTAGAAATAATAACTGTAATATTTTAACAAGAATAAAATGGCAGACTCTGCTGTCTTACTAAAGCAATCTTTATATCTAGTATTATATATTAGCTATATTATATTACATATATTACATTATATATCCTAAACACACATTTAAATATTTTTTAAGAATATTCCACACTTATCTGCATAATTTGCCAAATGATATTATATTATAGCTTATTACAGCTTGATTAGAAATATATGTATATATTACAA